TTAGTTTGCGAAACATATCTCGGGATGCTACACAAAATATTTCTTTTCTAAAAATCCGTTAACTTTATTAATTTTAAACTCATTTATAAAAAACGGATTATCTTTTATAAAACAAGCGTGTGATACTGTATAAAATTTGACCCGAAGGCTCGGATCATTGTCTGAAAATTTACACGCTAGTTTGAAAGTCTGAAAACATCAGCGGAAGTAAAAACGTGGCAAATATGTACATATCAACATTCTACAAAAACATATACATATTTACATGGACTGGACCGGCGACCACCAGCTCTGCTCACTCCTCCGGACCGACTTTGTCACCTAAAAAAGGTCATAATAGTGGGAGCGTGAGTACTAAAATCACTGTGCTCTGCAGAAAATCATATTAAAGTAAACATTAATAATAATATCAATATCATGACTGCAGGTATATATAAGCAAACTGAAATCTCCCGACACTGGGTCGGTAACTGAACTGAACCTCCTCGGACACTATGTCCGTCCATGTGCACATTCCGATGGCCTATTAAGGCTACTGTGCCTCCACCGGAACTCGGGATGGCCTATTAAGGCTACTGCCCCTCCACCCAGAGTGGAATAGCTCATATACATACCTTAAAACATGATAGAGCAATTATAACCAATGTAATACCCAGTCTGAGTTCCCACCTGAACTGATAATGTAAGTGCTGCTGATCACTCTGTAAAAATATATAAATAAACAAATACTAATTACTACGCTCAGACTGACTGAAAATAACTGTTAAGATGCTCGACTCGATCTAAATATTTAACTGGAATATTCTCGGGACTTAACTTGACCGACAAGAAAAACGGACTAAACTGATACTGATAAACTGGACTGACTGGACTGAAAAATTAACTGAAATACTGTACTGGACTCGGACCGGATCAGTAATTATTGAACAGCTCAAAATCCGGTCTAAACCGACCGGTTCATTTTCTGGCCGGACCGCCGGCTCACTGCGGCCGGGCGGTCGGCTGCTGGCTGACCACCGGCTCGGTCACTCGCGCACGCTGGGCGCGGACTGGGCGCTGCCGGCGCTGCTGGCGCTGGCGGGCGCTGGCTGACTTGGTCCTGTGCGCTGGCAGTGCTGCTGGCACCATGCGTGCGCTGGGACGGTCACTGGCGTGCTGCTGTGCACAGCCAGCGACGACTGGACCCTTACTGAACATAACTGGCCGCTACCGTGCACGCTGGCGACGGTACTGGCACATATACGCACTACTGGGCGCTGCTGTGCGCCGTGGGTAGGTGACTGGCACGCGGGTTACGCATGCTGGGCTGACTGGGCGCTCGGGCGTGCTGCTGGGCAACGCCGAGGCCTGCTGAGCATCGCTGGCACGCTGCTGGGCGTGCTGGCGTGCGTGGTGACTGGCCAGCATGCGTGGTACGCCACTGGCATGCGTACGTGCTTCGCGGGACACGCTGTTGGGCGTGTGACGCGTTGCGGTGTACGCGGACTGGGTAGACGGACGCTATAGTGCGTTGCCATGGGTGTTGGTGTGCACTGCGCACGTCTACGCACACGACTGCGGCACCGAAGGGGCTTAACTGCCGAGTACTAGGCACGCGTGCGCGTTACTGGGCGCGTGGACGCTGCCTACGTACTCGCTGGGCCTGCCGGACGCGCCTGCGCGCACCCTGTGCGCGGTAGGCATCACGGTCGACATTTCGCCGGCCGTCCGGCTACTTTTTCCGGCAATACATACATGACTGATTATGTTTTGACTTAAAATGATAGAAAATACATAGATTACTCGGGACTTGCCGGTTCTATTTTGAAATCACTCGGAGAGAGCTTATATAGCATTTCCGAGGCCGTTTTGCATCAAAACATAGACCGAACAACATGATTCCGACATGACTTTGCTGATATGAACTTAACTACATAAAAAGAGGGTAAAGGAATGTGTACCCTTTAGTTCGGTCGAGAAGTATTCGGTGACGTGCGTGTGTATTCGGTACTTGAACGGGCGTGTACTTGCTTCCTTTTGGCTTCGGCCTTCTTAGCTATTTTTTGTATAATTTATCCACTATTATTCCCTCACTATTTTCTCCCTCAATTATGCTGAAGTTAGGTTCGGCTTTTGCATGGAAATGCATAGGAGAAATTACATGTTCGATTATTTAAAGGAATGGTAAAAACCGAGGGTGAAATTGGGGTCAAAGAGGTGGTGGATGATGCATTCTCCTCTTGATGACATGTGTTTGGGTCGTGTGCTGAGATGTGCCGTGTTTGGCTTAGTCATCGTCTAGGTGGCACCCATGCGCGTGCTTAGTCGTCCACCGTGAGCTAGGCTTGAGCCATGTGTTAAGCTACTAGGTAATTCATCACTACAACTTGCAACCCAAACTCATCCCTTTAAAAATTCCTCACGGCAATTTGGAAGTTTAAGACTTAGATTACTTAGTCATGATCATGGCGCTTAGGGGAGTATAAGCGTGTGCTTAAGGAGGTTTAACCGCGTGAATACACGGTAACGCGCGCTATGCGCGATCGCGCGCGCGCATGCGTGCACTGTTATGCACGACGTGCGTGTGTGCGTGCATGATATGTATCTTTGCGACTTAGCTTGATCTTTGACTTCGAAATTAAATCCGAACATTCTAAATTTTCAATAATTAATCTCGATTAATAATATCCATTTACAAAATAAACGGTTCGGAAATTAATTATCGATTTTAACTCGGTTAATAATTAACCGAATAACTTTTTGACTTAACGTCGAACTTATTCGCTGAAAATGAACGGAATCAATAGAAGAAAATACATCATTTTTATTAACAAGAAGTTGGGTTATTACAATCTACCCCCCTTAAAATATTTCCGTCCTCGGAAATATAAAACTGAACATATATACATGAAAGATATATACATCAAAACTGAAAATCGGGAAAACGAGCGCGAATGTCAGCCTCCTGCTCCCAAGTGGCTCCGTGGCGATCCCACTGAATACGAACGAGGGGAACATCACGCTTCCGGAGCCGTCGAACCTGTCGGTCCAACACAGCTACCAGTCGCTCCTCGTAAGATAAGTCTGGATGAATCTCAATATCAGTGTGAGGAATGACATGATCGGGGTCGCATACGTACTTGCGTAACATAGACACATGAAAGACATTATGAATAATGGATAACTCGGGAAGTAAGGCTAAACGATACGCAACATCGCCCACTCGCTCGAGTACTTCGAACGGGCCAATGAACCGAGGGTGTAACTTCCCTCTCTTCCCGAATTGAATAACTCCGCGATATGGACTAATTCAGACAAAAGCGTGCTCGCCAACCTCGAATTGGATATCTCGTCGATGATGATCGGCGGTTGATTTCATTCTACTCTGAGCTGTTCTGAGTCCTTTCCGGATCAACTCGACTTGTTCTGCTGTCTCCTCGATCAATTTCGGACCGAGTACTCGACGTTCACCGACGTCGTCCCAATAAAGAGGGGAACGACATTTACGACCGTATAGTGCCTCATAAGGAGCCATATGAATAGAAGAATGATAACTGTTATTGTACGCAAACTCGACGTACGACAATAACGACTCCCATTTAGCACCCCTGTTAACAACTAAAGAGTGCAACATATCCTCCAACGTCTGTATAGTCCGCTCTGTCTGTCCATCAGTCTCGGGATGGTAGGCTGAACTGAACGCTAGCTTCGTACCCATCGCCTCGTGTAAACTCTTCCAGAATCTACTAGTGAATCTGGGATCTCTGTCTGACACGATAGTAACAGGTACTCCATGAATTCGAACGATCCCATGGACATAAATCTCAGCCAACCTATCCAAAGACATACTCATCGATACTGGCGAGAAATGAGCAACCTTAGTCAATCTGTCGACCACGACCCAGATAGCGTCGTGATGTTCAGACGACCTCGGTAACCCTGTGACAAAATCTATCGCAACCTCCTCCCACTTCCACCTCGGAATCGGAAGTGGTCGTAGAAGGCCTATGGGACTCTTGTGCTCGGCTTTAACTTGTGGACAGGTTAAACATTTCCTTACAAAGTCGGTTGCGTCTTTCTTCAATCCTTGCCACCAAAACGACCTTTTCAGGTCATGATACATCTTTGTACTTCGTGGATGGGCTAGGTATGGTGCGGTATGAGCCTCAGATAAAATCTCCTTTCTCAATGCTTCGACTTTCGGCACCACAATCCTGCCACGAAACTCCAAGGCCCCATCAGTGCCTCGGTGAAAACCCTCGACGCCTCCAGCATGAACCTTGGCATCAATCGCACGAATAAACTCATCTGAAGCCTGCTCTTGTCGGATTCTCTCCCTCAGCGTCGGCTGAACCTGCATAGAACTCACACTCCCCGTACTGACTGTAGGAAGTGCATCAATCACCTAAATCTGCATCCAGGCGAACTCTCGTATCAACTGACTCTGCTGAGTAACAGCGTATGTCAAATCACCCTTCACCTTACGGCTTAGGGCATCAACAACAACATTCGCCTTTCCCGGATGGTACTGAATCGTACAATCATAATCCTTGACGAGCTCTAACCAATGGCGCTGTCTCATGTTGAGCTCCTTCTGAGTAAAGATATACTGTAAGCTCTTATGATCGGTAAAATCTCGCATCGACCGCCGTATAGGTAGTGTCGCCAAATCTTAAGGGCATGAACAACTGCTGCTAATTCCAAGTCGTGCGTCGGATAGTTCTGTTCATGTGGTTTAAGCTGGCGTGAAGCATAAGCAACGACCTGGCCATCTTGCATAAGTACACATCCCAAACCATGCCTCGAAGCATCGCTATAGATGGTGAAGCTCCGAGAAGGATCTGGAATAGTCAACACCGGTGCCGTCGTAAGCCTCCTTTTCAGCTCCTGAAAACTCGACTCACAACGGTTTGTCCATTCGAACTTTACAGACTTTCTCGTCAGCTGAGACAAAGGGAGGGCAATCTTCGAGAACCCCTCAATAAATCTGCGATAATAACCTGCAAGGCCGAGGAAACTACGAACCTCGGACGGATTCTTCGGTGCTGACCAATTTTGAACTGCAACAATTTTGGAAGGATCAACTTCAATACCTGCTTGAGTAATAACGTGGCCAAGAAAAGCCACTCGCTGAAGCCAAAATTCGCACTTGGAGAACTTAGCATATAACTTCTCACGTCTAAGGGTCGAAAGAATGGCCCTCAGATGCTCCTCGTGCTCCTTCTGGCTCTTGGAATAAATAAGAATATCATCGATGAAAACAATAACAAACTGGTCAAGAAAAGGATGAAGTACGCGGTTCATCAAGTCCATGAATACTACCGGGGCATTACTGAAGCCAAACGGCATAACCACAAACTCAAAGTGACCGTATCTCGTACGAAAGGCTGTCTTGGGTATGTCTGACTCCTTGATTTTCAGCTGATGGTAGCCTGAACGCAAATCAATCTTGGAAAACACGCAGGCACCTCTCAACTGATCAAATAAATCATCGGTCCTGGGAAGCGGATATTTATTCTTGATCGTCAACAGGTTAAGATCCCGGTAGTCGATACACATACGCATGGATCCGTCCTTCTTCTTGACAAAAAGAACTGGTGCTCCCCAAGGAGAAACGCTCGGTCGTATAAAACCGAGATTCAGCAACTCTTGAATTTGGGTCTTTAATTCCTGCAATTCTTTAGGCGCCATTCTGTACGGTGCCTTCAAAACGAGTCCGGCTCCAGGGATAAGATCAATAGAAAATTCCACCTATCGGCTAGGTGGACCTTCGGGAAGCTGGTCTGGGAACACATCCAGAAACTCACGAACGATAGGAATGTCATGAGGTGAACGTGCTTTTGGCTCATCTCCAACGAGGCTCACAAGATAACCCTGGAAATCACCTCGTCGAAGGATCTTTCTGGCTTTCGCCATAGAAATAACGTGGGGCAGAGTACGAGGCCTGGAGCCGTAATAAGTGATCTGATCATCTCCCGAAAGATAAAGGGTAATCTCCCGGTCGTGACATCGGATATCTGCGTGAAAACGTGTTAGCCAATCCATACCGAGTATGAGGTCAAAATCCCTCATCTCGATAACATAAGTATCAGTAATCAGAATACGGCCGTCGATGGAAAGGCTGAGATCGGTGGCTCTCCCGTCAGTCACTATCTTTCGTCACGGGGCTAAACTCACCTCGAGAGGATCAACAGCGGTAGTGGAACGAACCCCAATAGCTTCGAGACATCGACGTGATATAAAGGAATGGGTCGCTCCGGTATCAAATAAGGCATAGACAGGCACATCATTAAGAATAATCATCCCAGACATGGTACTGGGTGCTGGTCGGCCTCCCTCTGGTCAACTACAAAGACGCGGGCCTGGTGTCTGCCGCGTGGCTGTTGTTGGGGTCGTGGTGGCTGCTGCCTGGGCTGTTGTTGTTGAAGTTGCTGTGGTGGTTGACGTTGTTGCGGTTGTTGTTGCAGTCGTTCTGGACAGTTGGGGCTGATATGGCCTGGCTGGTGGAAAAAAAACAAATGTTCTGGCCCACGAGGCATTCTCCACGGTGGTGTTTCCCGCATGTTGGGCATTCTGGTATTGATTTCCGTCTTTGGCGGTTCCTGCGGTCGTCTGGACCCCCTTTGAACTTCCTTTTATTCTTGTTGGTTGATGGTTGGGCAACTTTGGACTGGGCTGGTGGCTGAGCAACTGGCTGGGCTTGTGTCTGAGTGGCTTCTCGTCGGATACTGGCATCGACTGCTTGAGCAATAGCAACTGTACGGGCGTAGGTATGGACGCCGTGACCTACGATCTTGTGGCGGACTGCTGGGCGAAGTCCGTCGGTGAAACGATGGGCTCTCTTCGCCTCCGTACCCACAAGATTAGGTACAAAGGCTCCGAGGCCGGTAAACTCTCTTTCGTACTCGTCAACAGAACGAGTACCCTGGGTGAGTGCCAAGAACTGGCGCTCCATGTCTGCTCGGTAATACGAGGGATAATACTTCTCTCGGATCAGCTCCTTGAATTGGTCCCACGTATAACTGTCTTTCTCACCGAGACGCATACTCCAATAGGCATGCCACCAGAGTCGGGCATCACCGGTCAGCTGGATCTGGGCACATAACATACGGTAACGATCAGGGCAGTACATGACCTCGAAAATCATCTCGAGGCCCTGAACCCATTCATCTACTATACGAGGATCTCCCTGGCCGAAAAGCTTTTCTGGATGGTAGTCGCGAAACTGGGCGACCACTGTGGCCTGTGGGAGTTCCTGGTGATCTGGTTCTCTACGACGAGGCATCTGAACATTGAAATATTTAACATGATTAATTAACATAAGAGATTAACTGACTGACTATTTAAATACACAAATTTCTTGACGAGTCGCTAAATAACCCGAGAATACTAAAGTCGAACTATCAAATGACTGAGACAATCGACTAGGTTCTGAAAATACTCGAGCATCTTACTGGTCTCTAGGGTCAAATATCTGATACCCTCTTACTGAGCATAGACTTAAGCATTCATTTAAATAATATAAACTGTAACTCAACACTTACCTGTAGTCGGTGAGGCGTGAGCGTAGCGTGGTCGGGTCTTTCTGACAATTTCTGACTTAAAAAGTATTCAGATACACAAAAATGTGCTCTGATACCAATTTGTAACACCCCGCTAGCTTACTAAAATCAGAGTGCGATTTTCGCAAATTCTTTTCTAAAGTTTACGGTTTAGTTTGCGAAACATATCTCGGGATGCTACACAAAATATTTCTTTTCTAAAAATCCGTTAACTTTATTAATTTTAAACTCATTTATGAAAAACGGATTATCTTTTATAAAACAAGCGTGTGATACTGTATAAAATTTGACCCGAAGGCTCGGATCATTGTCTGAAAATTTACACGCTAGTTTGAAAGTCTGAAAACATAAGCGGAAGTAAAAACGTGGCAAATATGTACATATCAAAAGTCTACAAAAACATATACATATTTACATGGACTAGACCGGCGACCACCGGCTCTGCTCACTCCTCCGGGCTGACTCTGTCACCTGAAAAAGGTCATAATAGTGGGAGCGTGAGTACTAAAATCACTGTACTCCGCAGAAACTCATACTAAAGTAAACATTAATAATAATATCAATATCATGACCGCAGGTATATATAAGCAAACTGAAATCTCCCGACACTGGGTCGGTAACTGAACTGAACCTCCTCAGACACTATGTCCGGCCATGTGCACATTCCGATGGCCTATTAAGGCTACTGCGCCTCCACCGGAACTCGGGATGGCCTATTAAGGCTACTTCGCCTCCACCCAGAGTGGAATAACTCATATACATACCTTAAAACATGATAGAGCAATTATAACCAATGTAACACCCAGTCTGAGTTCCCACCTGAACTGATAATGTAAGTGCTGCTGCAGATCACTCTGTAAAAATATATAAATAAACAAATACTAAGTACTACGCTCAGACTGACTGAAAATAACTGTTAAGATGCTCGACTCGATCTAAATATTTAACTGGAATATTCTCGGGACTTAACTTGACCGACAAGAAAAACGGACTAAACTGATACTGATAAACTGGACAGACTGGACTGAAAAATTAACTGAAATATTGTACTGGACTCGGACCGGATCAGTAATTACTGAACAGCTCAAAATCTGGTCTAAACCGGTCGGTTCATTTTCTGGCCGGACCGCCGGCTCACTGCGGCCGGGCGGTCGGCTGCTGGCTGACCACCGGCTCGGTCACTCGCGCACGCTGGGCGCGGACTGG